GCTGTGTCCAAGAGTCAGAATGGATATTCAGTTCTTGTTGCAGCTGTAGAATGTCATTAAAACAGAAATAAAAAAATTCGAATTGCTGTAATACATACAATCACTCAATTACCCTAGCCCATAACCTGAACCGGAATCATTAGGTGCCTAGCTTTCCTCTTAAGCATCAGCTATGGTATACGGCAACCGATTGGTTCTAATGATTTAGTAAGCCCTACAACTTAATGTTGATGGGGTTCATTCTATACCTACGAACACCTGTTTTCACGCACTTCGCACGGTCTCCAATCCTTATCCATATCACCATTTAACGCCAACACAGAGTATGAACACAATTTTGACAGAGAGAGAGATATATATTTGACTTTATCATACATTAAGGTCTACAAGAACCATGAAACACACAGCTGATTTGAAAAGGGGGCTGTCTGAAATAGATTGCGGTACTGCTTACAAGCGAAGACCACCGTTGTACTTGGCGTAACCGAGAATAACAGCAGTTGCAGCAACAAAGCCTAGATAGGGAGAATTCATTTAACGTCGATCCGATAAAGACGTGATATATATATATTCCTTGACTTACCACCGATGAAACCAGTAACTTGAGGAGAGCTCAAGAAGTTTTCAGCCTCTTGGACCTTGGGGCGGGCACGGATGCGAAGATCGTCGAGCTCCTTGCGAAGACGGGTGACTTCTTGTTGAGCCTCAGCAGAGAAGTGCTCGATGTTAGCGTTGACCTTCTTTTCGGTTTGTCTTGAGTCTGACATTATGTTTGTATTATTGGGGAGGTAGAATGGATAAGAGTATTTGGAAACTTGTGTGAATGCTTTTTATAGTGGTTGAAATGGGAATTTTAAGCAATCGATGATGACACAATGATCCAATACCTTTTTGGACTGCAAGGTACGAAAATTCATCATTTCTCTTTTTCCTTTTGCACGCATATTACATTATAGCAGAGCTAATGTTAATTCTGATAAAGCTACTTTCAGCCCTCCAATACTAGGATTTATATCCGAGTGATGATATTCCGGTGGCGTGTGAGTGGAAGGCGTCCTTTTTTCTAAGTCTTGGTTTCCTTCGACGGCTGGTTCATGTGATTGTGGTTCAGTGCCAACCGGTATAACCCTGACGTCAGATTCTGAGTTTCTCCGCTCCACTTCCAAGTTCAACGATCCCAAGAGAAGCTTAGGATTAATCAGTTTGCTGAGTAGGGTCTCAAGCTCGTTGGTACGCATGCATTTAGGATTTCTGGATTTATCCATGAAAAGAAATTCTGTACGCTTTAGTTTGTTCTGCACACTACGAGCTTGTATGACATCAACACCTAATGAAGCCACCATTGAAAATTAGAACGAAGGCTGCGTGGTGTTGATAGGTAAGTTTGATCTGAAGTACCCATCAAATAACTTATCCTGACAATAGACTTAAGCCATCCGTCGTTCCATAGAAGATGAAGACCGCGTCGATAGACACACAGTTCCGAGAAATGATTATGATCAATGGCAGGAAAGATATGACCTTCTTCTTTCTTACAAGCAAAGCATATGTGTGTTGCCTGTAACATCGTGGTTGATTCTCCCCAGTAGCCATAACAAATAGCGTGATCCCAATTAAAGCACTTGCAGCACTGTATCTAACATATTAAATAAGGAGTGAATATTATGCTAGCTGAGTGCATTAAGGAAGCAACATACCAAATGTTCGGAATCTGTCGACATCGCGTTACACATGCATTTTCTATTGCCGCCTGTCTCATAGTCGTTCGTTTCTTCAAGCTTTATCGGTACATCTGACGAGTTTTCGGACAATTGATCATTTTCTTCGTTCTTTGCCATGCTCTTAATTGTATACGCAGAGCCATTGGATCGACTAGCCCTTTCAGGTTTTGGAAAGAATAACGTCGGACAAACGATCTTCATGACATCGATTGAAATGTCGTAACCTTGACAAAGGATTTCTGCGACTTTCGATGTAACATCGATAGAAGAAATGTCATTTTCATGTATAGATGAGCTGTCAGATATAACTTCCATGGCATTGTGGTTTACAATTTTGTCGACATTTCTAATCTTAGGTCGAGTGATTGTGCTTTTGTGATCCAATTTGATCCCTTTTAGCGTCACTCTGTTCAAAATGTGAGTACATGAAATCGAACGATGTTTCAGCCTCTATAACTTACTGATGATTATCAGATGTCCGCAGCTGATAGATTGGAAACCTGTGTGGCTCTGTGCTTGACATAATTTCTATGTTCATGAAGCCAGGTGGTTTGTAATCTATTGGAGTCTCGTTGCCGTACACAAGCTTTAGCGATATATACATATTACTACCTGGGAACTAAACAGGCTGTCAAACCATTGAATGATGCTGTATTTTGTTTGCGCAAATCAATGTACCTCAACTCTTTGCAGATGACTATTCAGATGCGCCACAGCCTTTGCCAACTGCCCAGGATCTCCATCTTGATTCAGATATTTTATCGAAAACTCTAGCTGTTCACTTTCAGTGTCTTGCACTGTTGGGCTTGAATGAATGGCCATTACAAGCGAACTAAGGTAGCGGTGCTTAACGGCATCCATGATGCCCATTGCCTTTAAGGCAACGAATGTGTTACCATGATATGTATAGAGGATCTGCGCATGAGTAATGCATACATACAATCATATCACAAAGGGCATCGGCTTCATAGCAGACACCGCGCTTTAGAACCTTGACCATAACGTCTGGTGTAAAAAATAATGATATGAGCTGGCGAGTCCGAGTTCATCAGCCTTTGTGATTGATGCTCACTATGCTCCTGCCAAGGTAGAAGTTCATCTTCGAAGCATTCGCTTGGATACAGACCTCTGATGCGGATTGATTAAGACTTAAAAAAAAATCTATTCGACAGGTGTTTGAGACCAACACTTTACCGCAAGTATACTATACATCCAATCGATACGGAGAGGAGGTTAATTACAGTGGCTTGCATAAAGGCTATAACAAAGTAATTTGCTGAGGAGGAAGAATAAAGTTGGCAATCAACGTCTCGCAGAAAAATTTTTCAGACTTCAGCACTGATATTTGGTGATGGTAACGTTTGTATGTATATATGTGTCAGTATAAGGGTTATGAGAAAAAACAACCCTAATTACGACAGAGAGCAAGGATTGATAGATAGCAGTGATGAATGATGAGATTAAACGACACAAAAAAAAAAAAACTATTAAGAAGAGATCTAAGATGGCGATATTAGAAACAAGGCAAAGATAACAGAGGTATCAGCTCCCACTATATACGTTGCGTATAGTAGTCTTGAAACTCTTTGTGATTGCTATGTACATTAATTAGAGGGCAGATGTGCATTTCTTGATTGTTTTACGACAAACTTTAAAGTACGATCATCGATTCATATGAGTATTATCTTGAAGATTTGCGCCTTGTTGACCACCAGGGAATGGGACAGAGGAAAATCCAAGATGAGGGCTAAAGATCATATTTTGTTGCTGCATTTGTGGAGATTGGTGAGGTGATTGATGTGGAGAAGTCTGGTATTGCGCATACGACAGTTGCGGTTGCTGATAATGTTGTTGAAGAGGTTGACCATGTTGCTGTCGCTGATGAAGTTGCAAGCCACTCAAGTTTTGGAAAATTTGTCCGCAAGTCATTTGTGGACACTTGAAGAGTCGAGCATCGCCATACCGATTCTGATCGTTCACATTCATCATTCCTGCCAATAAACCTGAGTTTGGGTTGTTTAACGTAGCATGCTGTTGTGCAGGGGAAGAAGATGCCGATCCAGGCAGTTGCATTCTCTGTAACGACATTTGTGGAGATTGCGATGGTGCCTGCATAGGCATCATTTGTGCCGAGCTGGTTCTCATGGTATTCATATTCATTGCTGGCATACCAGTCATTGGTGGAGCCCCAAACTGATTCAGTCGTTGCTGAGGTGAGCCCATTAACAAGTGAAGATTATTTCCAGGTTGCTGTAGCGCAGGTGCCTGCGCTTGAGAATTACCACCTGAATTCCGTCGACGTTTTCCATTGTTTTGAGAACTGGTATTTTCAGGGGTCGCCATTGCACCGGTAAAAGATATATCTTGTTGTGCATGTCCGTGTTGAACATGATAGTGCAATCCGTTTGGTGTTCGATACGCCTTTTTACAACGTGGGACTTGACATTTGTACGGTCGGTTATCCCCCATTCCATTATCTAGTGAGCCATCCTCTCTCATGATGGCTGGAGCATGTCCAGATGATCCTTTGGCTTCACGGATGTGATATTGAAGTCCGTTGATATTTTTGTACTTCTTAGTACAACCAGGTATAGCACATCGGTACGGTTTAGGGATACCATCCAGATTTGTGTGAACGCCTTTCATATGATAGAAGAGGCCACTTGATGCTGGAAAACTGGCAAAGCATCCAGGAACGTCACACCCGTACGGATTCATTTCTTCTAACATTTCTCTTCGTGCTTCATCTAATCTGGATTGCTGAGATAACTGGATTTGATCTTGTGGCGATGATTGTAAGTTATTCGCAATCATGTTCGCTGCAGGATCTTGAAATTGAGCAAGAATGGAGGGATCTGACGATGGTGGTAGTGGCTTTGGTCCGGATAAGGAGGTCGAGGTATTAGTGTTTAGTGTAATATTAGGAGATGCGGATCCACTTCCAAGGCTATCCAGTGGTGAGAGATGTTCTTCCTCAGTGATTGGGCTGTTTTTGCTGGTCGAGCTATCTTCACGGCGCATTTCAGGAGGTAAATGGTTGATCTTACTTTGTGCGCTCCTCTGCAGTTTCCTCCATCGGTTGCGACAATGTAGACCAGGCCGTCCAGGAAAGAATAAAGCAATTTTCTGCCACTGTGTACCGTACTCATCATACTTCCGTAATAAAAGGCCATCCTCTTCTTCAGTCCAGCTTGATCGGTCGATATTAGGATCTAAACTTTCTCGCCATCGTTTTGCACATTGATCATCTGTTCTACCAACAATCATATCGGCAATCTTGCTCCATTGTTTTTTTGGAAATTTAGTTACTCCTTCTCTGAGTAGCCTGTCTTCCTCTTCCGTCCATGGACCCTTTCGTAGCGATGGATCGAGAGAATGAAACCAGCGCTTTCGACAATTTTTGTTCGTACGACCTGGAACGCATTCAGCGATTTTTGACCATTTTTCGGTATTCGCACCATAGACTTGAACAGCCAATCGAAGAAAATTATCTTCTTCAGGTGTCCACTGTGTTCGATCGTTGAAGCCCTTCTCCTTGACTTCAGTTTCAGTCGAAGGAGATGGTGTTAAAGTGCTGGAAGGTGGGGAATCGAGCAAACTGGACGAGAGAGGAGGTAAAGTGGTAGGTGGTAAGTCGGCTACTGATAAGGCTGGGCTATTGACTAAGCTACGAATGTCCACATTGTCATACATGGAAGGGACATTCTGAGATGCCCGAGTAAGTGATGCAACCATTTCATCAGCAGAGTTCATCTACAACTTTGCGTGTTAGTAGAGGAGTGAAACAGTGGTGGTCTGCGTTACATGAAGGATGTGTTATCATACCGTGTGAAAACCTCCAAACTGGTCCACATTGCCATTGTTATGGTCGATCTTGTTAGGAAGATGTAACTGCTGCTGACGCTGTGGTGACATGAAAGGTCCCGCTGCCATGGCATGCTGATTCATAGACATGGTGACGGGCCGAAAACCTTGTTGTGGATAGGTGAACGAGTTTTGAGGAGTCATCCTATTTTGACCATCTGAGTCATTGCTGAGTATCTGATTCTGGCCATATTGTTGCTGATTTAACTGTATTGGTTGACCCGATAAAGGAGCTTGAGCGGCATTTTGGAATTTAAACATAGAATTATACTGTAATTGGTCAGAAGCTGTCAGATCAAGTGTTCCTTGGTCATCAAAAGGTCTTGGCCGTGTCAAGTGATAAGCGGCAGTGGATAGATGCTGGGGGCTGTTGAACTGTTGCATTGAAGGCGAGGGCACACTTGGCCCGTTCTTCGAGCGGTTGAAGCGATGTCTTTCAAACAGAAGAAAGAGAAATTAAGTAATTACCATTCCTTTATTTTTCCTTGCTGGAAATGCGCTTGCTCCGAGTACACACGAAAAAAAAAATTGCGCTGAGCCAACAGAAAAAAGCTTTGTGCCTCCCATCCACATTGATACAAAACAAAGCTCTTTATTGGTCAAGTCGCTGCCACTGTGACGTTGCACCGAGTCACGTGGGAATTACACCCAGCTTTTCCACATTGTAATTCAATTCACACAAAGGCTTTTAAATTGTGATCACTGATATGTGGAAAGTATATACTATGATGAGCTTCAAAAAACCTGAGAGAGGTAACAAGAGGAGAAAAGCCATTAATGGCCTTATGATAAATTTTTACCAACTACATTTTGTTCCAGACCGTAATTTTAGCATTTTCGCCTGTCACGCACCTCTTGAAAGAGCTAACTCTCTCGATTTTACCGCCTCACAAACGGTAACCTTAGAATTTTATTGCCATTATTCCCGTACTGACAGTACGGATAAGAATTCCGTGTAGGTTGCGATACTTATTGGTCAGAAGGGGGACAGACAACCAGCTAAGAGGAAGATACATACTAAAATAATGCCTACTTTAAACTGATTTATGGTAAAAGTGTATTGGAAAAGGCATATCTTTTGTGAATTCGATAAAGCAACAGAGGGAATAATCATAACTATCTTCCTGGCGATCAAAATGAGATCAGTGATAATGTACCCATCGGTGACGGAAAATATGATACAGTGCAAGAAGATGAAGCTCAGAGACTTGGTGGTATTTCAACCATAGAAAGTAGGCGTACCAAATTGGATGATCAGTTCACTTCTACGCAGTAAGAGGGTATTGTTTCCCAATAACATAATAATAAATAAAGTCCACCTATAGAAAGTTACTCGCCAAGTAGCCTTTTATCCCCCAACTTCAGTGATTATCTTCAAAGATGATGAACAACTACGTATTGTTAAAGACGTCTTGCAGTTGGTAGAGAAGTCTGCCGTATCACCCCAATGCTGTGATGTGATATGAATTCAAGTTCGGAGATTTGACTCACATATCGCGCAGCTTGAGTCACCTTGTTTTTGCCTTGTTCTCCGCCTATAGAGGTGATTTCTGCCAAAATAAGTTATAAAGTTGGGAAATATTCATTTGACTTCTTTCTTTACTCAATCCAAACAATTTTACAACAAGATGAGCAACCTCGGTATAAAAGTGTATCCTGGGCCACAACAGTTTTTAGACGAACTACGACCACAGCTAGAAGAACACGAGCTTGAAAATAGCCAAGTTATATTCAAACCAACAGTATGGGCTCGTGATAATGTCGAAGGTGGCTATTACGCTGCAGTGTTGGATGGCGACAAATTGGTATACGCTGGATGCTGGTCGCCAGGGAACTACATGTGGCTTTCATGGTGTCCTGAAGACGGAAGTGAGACTGAAGCGCAAGAACTTTTGGCAAAGCATCTCGCTACAGTCGAGAGCGTGGTAAAGGGCTTGGTAGGATACCTAGGATGCGAACCAGGAGCAAAGGTGTTTGCAAATGCGTACGCAGAGGCAACAAGTCGCACTGTTCAAGAGGACAGAGCCATGTCTACTTACAGGCTTACCAAGGTTCTATGGACAGAACAGTGTCGAGAGATGGTGGCAAAAGGAGTGCTAAGAAAAACAACATCAGACGACGACATGAAAGTTATTGGAAGTTGGTATAAGGGATTTAACCACCAGTGCAAGCTGCCATTCCTTTCCCTCGAAGAATGTGAAAAGGCGGTAACTAACTTGACCAAAGTTGGGCTTCTCTACGTGTGGTGCCTGGGCAAGCAACCAGTGTCTATGGCGTTTCAGTTGAGGCCATTGAAATATGGGACGTCAGTTGCTGGTGTCTACACGCCTCCAGAATTTCGTAAACGTGGCTATGCTTCTGCTTTGATGGCGACTCTCAGTGACCATCTGCTCAAAACTTATCAATTCGTTACGTTACATGCTGACAACGATAACCCGACGTCGAATCACATTTACCAGGAAGTAGGATACCAATTTGTTCGATATACCAGCGACTATCAGGTACACTCGACAGCATAAGCTTGTAATACATTTTGCAAAACTATGTTGTATTATATTGTTTAAAATTTGCAAGTTCTGATAAAGATATTAAACTTGATTTTTATTTTATTTTGAAAAACTCTATGACTATTCCGTCTACTTCACCATGATTCTGTCATATTTTTTATTTTGAAATGCTGTTATCTCTATGAGAGTGGTTAAAGAATGCGATCTTTACTCGATACTGACTTGCGAGTGCAACAGCATCTTGGTCAAGCTGATGACGTGACATGATTGAAACTACGCATTGGCAACGTCCCAGCGGAGTCGTTTCTCTCCACAATCCCAGACCTACGGCCGCATTCAAATCAGGTTTTGAAGTTAGTCATGGATGAAGGTAAACGATGGGATTGCCGGCTACTACTTAATGCCGCATGCGAAGCTAACTGAAATGACTCCACTGGTTCACTTAACTAATTCATTTTGTTGTTCCGCCATGCCAACAGCGCACAGCTTTCAAAAGTGAGTTATAGTTCTTGTTCCAAATATGTGTATGAATCAGAATAAGATTGGAAATCTGAACATGATTCTATTAAAGGTCATTTTGGAAAAGGCAAGGGAACAAAGTTCCTGGAAGGTAACTGACGTTGATATAGTTAGTGGTGTCGGTCTCCTGTCTGATCTCCAGCTCCATCCTAGCAGTGTCCATGTTGTAACGGCGGGATCCACTCCCGGCGGTGTTCCTTCCAATGTCGTTGGAGCCCAATACTCATATACCACGTTAATAACATCTAAGATATTGAACAAAGAAGCTCAGTCTTCGGCTTCTGTACCTTCTTATATTGGCCAACCGGGCAATGTGTCAAAGGCAACCCCATCACTCGACTCCTCCAAATCTGGGCATTCGCACCCTTTGCCACCTATCAAAAACTTCAATGTGTTCATGCAACAAACCGACAACGAGTGGGATGATGCACTCGACGATGTAAATAATAGCAATCTTCCAGAAGAAGAGAAGGAAGTTACACCCGATGTTCCAGTGTTTCAGAAGAGGGTTCATACAAAAACGAGCAGGCCAGGAACTCCTTCTGCGTCCGAAACGAATACACCTTCGGAGCAACCTGTGCAATCACCACGGCCAAGTGAATCTAAAAGGAAAAATACAAATGGCTTAAAAGACAATATTCCAGACTTAATTACAGGTGAGGGACCGCTTGGGGCTTAATATATCGATTTTCAACCCTTACATCGTCACCAAGAAGGCTGATGCACAGAATTATTTCAACCGTAGATCCGTCCAATTTATTACGATCATGCATACAAGATGTGGATAAAGTGGATGCAAAGTATACGCGATTTAAAAATATCCTTTCCTGCAGCAATATCGATTTAGGTGAGTTCTCCATTGTAAAAATGCCCAAGAAGTTTGGCCTGTAGATGGTAACGAAGTAAACGTGACGCAGCCGCATTACGCGAACTTAGTTGGAGTGGTATACCGGCCGATTTTCGGCCTATGGCTTGGCAAATCCTTTTGGTGAGCATGATATTTTCTTCACGTTATGAAATTGGTAATACGACGTCACCTGGTTAATCATTATATATCAACCATTTTCAATTTTACCGTACATCTCATTAGGGCTACCTTCCATGCAATTCTGATCGGCGTGTCGCCACTCTAGCGCGTAAACGAAAGGAGTATGAGGATGGAATGACTGCAGCTTATGCAAGAGGCACTGCTGGACTTGACCAAACACTGTGGCATCAGGTGAGGAAGGATTACTATTGTCTCATAAATGACCGCATTTCCCGAGAAAATTAGCCAGTTCATGACCTATATGTCATATCACATCTCATAGATACATATTGACATACCAAGGACAAATCCCGGAATACCATTGTATCAGTCTGAAGCAACACAAATGGTATGACCCTGTTTCCATCTCTCATCATTTTCCACCATGACCAAAAAAACTAACAGAGCCTATGCTGATTCTGCACCATTTTCCGTCGGTACTATCAGTGCCTGGAACGGATTCTCTATCTTTGGTCTATACGACATCCTGCCAGTGGATATGTGCAAGGTATCAATGACCTAGTAACGCCCTTTTTCCATGTATTTTTATCCATGTACATAGGTATGTACCGTTTGTGACGTTACTGATGACAGCTTCTTCATCTCATCAAATACTTTTTTTACAACATGCAAGATGACGAAGCCGAAACGTACGATGTGAGCTTATTGCCAAAAGAAGTATTGAGTGTTATCGAAGCAGATAGCTTTTGGTGTTTATCCAAACTACTGGACGGCATACAGGTGAGGTTCACAAAATATATACAACTTCTTTGATACTGCAGGGGACTGGCGCGGGGCAGGAGTGGCCTGTGGTGGGAAAAGATCGAAAAATAACAAAATGGAATGCAACTGCACAACATATGTGTACAGAGCGGCTGCAAAATCCTCGGCAAGGAGAGAAAGACGCTTCTGCATGATCGTCCAATGCAGTCACTTTTTTTCTTGATTGACAGGGAATGAAGTGCTAACCTTGATATATACATGATTGTATGTCGGCTAGGACAATTATACCTTTGCACAACCAGGAATTCAACGCCAGATCGCAACGCTTAAGGAGTTGACCTGTCGAATTGACGGTAAGGAGGTGGAACCGGTTTTGAGGGTTGTGGGGGGAGTGACGTGAAATGAGAAATTTGGAATAGCGGGACAAGCAGACAACGACCATGGGGGCGATCGCTTTTTTTTTTATAGTTCAAACACGGGCACACTCTCGGATCATCTGGAAGTCAGTATGCTGAGGTGCAACATCTCAAATACTAACATCACTCTCTACCACTCTAGCACCTTTGGCTATGCATCTCCAGAACGAAGGAATAGAGTTTATACAATTTGCATTTCGGTGGATCAACTGTTTGTTGATGCGAGAAATATCCTTACGCAACACCGTGCGCATGTGGGACACATACCTTGCGGAAGGTTCTGAAGGATTTTCTGAATTCCACGTGTATGTATGTGCATCGTTCCTTGCGACGTGGTCAGTCCAACTTAAGCAAATGGATTTTCAGGTACGTGTGACACCATAGGGGTTTTGCCTGCCTGTCTGCCTACCTACCTATATACCTGAAATGAGGAGCCCCAGGGCACATGATAAAGAGGATTACCCTTTGTCAATAGGAGGACCTGGAGTATGCAGATCAAAAGAAAGCAAAAATAGACAGGCGGAAGGACAATGTCCTCTCCCCCTCTCCAAAAACCATAACTTACCCATCATTGTTTATGATCCTTAGGACATCATGATCTTTCTGCAGCAAGTACCTACATCGAATTGGAAGGAAAAGGATATCGAATTACTCCTCTCACAAGCCTATATGTGGAAAAGCCTATTCCATAATGCACCCAATCATTTGAAGAAATAAAACGTAAAGGAGAACAGAAGGTCAAACTCCTGCATTTCTACTAACATGCCTGGTTGCAAAGGGGGTAGAAGGGAATAAAACGTGGGACGCCACGTTGTTCTGTGGCCCTAACAAACTATTTCAAGGGATTCGCACTGAAAATTAAACCCTGTTCTCCCTTCATTCCGCGGGTTGGTTACCATTATAAAAAGAAACCCGACTAAGACCCAGTTTTTCCCCTTCTCTTTTTCTCAACACCATCCCTTTCACTGTCGAAAACCCCAAGCTCATAGAATCTCTGTACAATCACACATCCACCATGGCACTATCAGTTAAGGACGCTTCAGGAAGACATATCAGCCTTTTGAATTCAACATCTCCATACGGTTATTATTATACCGATTCGTCCACTACCTCATCGGCTCCTAGTAGTCCGTCTTCATCGGATGACGGTCAACACTCTCCTACAAGATCCCATATGGCTTCTAGTCGTAGCTCCTCCACCTATGGCAAACGACGATACCACTGTATGGAACCCGGATGCAACAAAAGCTTCACCACAAGGTACCATAGTTATTCTCCGATCCCTTTTTTTTTTTTTTTATCGTAATCTTACCAATCTTATCATGTAGTGGCCATTTAGCTCGCCACAACCGCATACATACTGGGGAAAAGAATTTCGCTTGTTTGTACCCCGGTTGCCCTTCACGCTTCTCTCGCCAAGATAACATGATGCAACATTACCGAACACACATGTCTGCGAGGTCTCGTAGCAGGGTACACAGCCAAAACGGGTCCTTGCATTCTACCGCGGCTTCCAACATCCCTCGGCCACATGCTCATACTCGTATCCACTCAGACTCGAGCGCCATAACGCCATTAAATCAAAACCAGCATTCTGTCATTCCATCCGATTTTCCGCCTAGCAATCGCTTAGAATACTTCTCGGCTCCATCATCGCCTAGTCTCCCTCCTTTGCACCAAATGATGCAGGATAGCCAATCACTCGACATCTCCTTACCACCTCCCAGAACCATTTTACCTGTACCTAAGAATCACCGCCAAGTGGACGAAAATACCTCATCTTCCGGTTTACTACAACTGGCTCATATCGTCAGTACCTTCGGCTGAACATGGCAGAACAAAATCAAACCTTGACACTATGTCCTAAAAAAAATCAAATGCATCATTTTCCTATGGATACCCGCTCCCTTTCTGGACAACATACCCGAAAAAGAACCTCCCCCGTATAACTCTTTTATTTTCCTACGTTTTTGAAACGCAACGTTTCCTATAGACTGAACGTCCTTGCTCATTTATGTTGTATTATATTTTTCTAAATCCGTTTGCTTAGACTTTCCATCGCTTTCCTCATACATTACATCCAATTTTAAGCTCTCACCTGTATTAAACTTGACTTTCATGAATCGATGTACATTGGGGTATCAGGGTCTGGACGTTCTGAAAACGGAGTGTGTAAAATTTTTTTCTTGTTTGCCAATCAGGGTCCAAAGGGTCCTGTACAGACGCTGTTGGACCCTGTTCCGCGGGCCTACGAGCAACCTGATTGGATGCGGCAGTTTGGTTTGCCGGCGAATTTCAATTTCAAAACACCGCACGAGCCCAACACGGTTACACCATGTCCAACGACCCTGTTCGCCATTTCAATACTGTATAGCGAGTATTTTGATTTATCTCTGCACGCTGCATCATGCCCTGTGCTATTGGCAAACCCTTCGTCCTCATTTTTAAATCTCCAATATCATTGCATATTGCGGTGGGATCTAGCGGAGTATAGACAGAAACTGCAGATCGATCAGGGAGGGGTCTGTTTGTTTTAAAATTATCCCTGGCCACTATAACCAGTTTTAGGGCCCATTCAATTACATCGTTTTTGCAGAAACCTGTTATGCTATTCATATATAAATCGGGCAATCTGACCAGGTGCATCTCTGATAGCTTAATCCTATGTAGATGATAAGGGATGATGCTTCTTCCAGCGATCGACTCCTCCATAGACAAACAACGAAGATTTCTCCTTGGCGCTGCGCTTTACTAGGTTGAACCCTGGACTCTGCATGCAAATTGCTGTATTTGTGACACCTGGGGGGCAAAAGGAATAATAAGCATTTTCTGAAAATAGCGACATTTTTCATAGATCCACATCATGATAACGCACATGTGGATCATTATGTCGACTATTCGTGAGGATAAAGTAAAAAAAGCTGCATTTTGAAGCATGTCTGCCGAAAACCGTCCCGGTTGTCCACGTTCAAATGGCGAGCTAACTCGGCTACATCGGCAACTATCATTCTGATACACTAGACAGTTCTTTATGATTTAAGAAAAATAACTGATGTATCAGGGTTTGAAATAGGGGACATCAGATTATGCTTGAACCCCTTCTTACCGTCATCATGTTTGAGCCAGTTAGCATATGGAAACGTATCAAACTCCACTTTGTTTCATGAACGTGTATGATCACGTATACAAACTGCAATTTTGACTGGGTTGTGGCAAGTGAGCGCTTAAATATTACGTCAAATATCAATATAAAATTCAATAGCTGTAGCCTACATACAGTGACCCTTTAACCCCCATGAATTTAAAAAATGCATGCCCTCTATCTGCATACCATCACATATAACTTGGGAGAGTTTTACTAATTTGTAGAGTTCAGTTATTGTTAATTTTTTTTAACGTTATTGGATGATGTTGCCAGCAGCGTACATGGTAAATAGTTGTTTGTTTAAAAGTAAGCAATATTGTATTGACGAAACGTTTATGTTGCCATTCAGCGACAATTTTTCTCTTCTGCAAACTAGCAAGAAAACGAAACGGGTGGTACACGTTATTATGTTTGAGCTCTTTCCAGTATATTTACCTGTCAATAATAGCAGTTCTAAAGTTTCATAAGGTACAAAATGTCTGTGATATCGTTATCAACCTAAGATAATCGTGCATTGCTATCTGGAGCCATTTGAACATGTATTTAATTCACTGCTTGAAATCATGTGATGAGCATTTTTCGTGAAGACGGGTTTTTTTTCAAAAAGTGAGGACCGCTTTTCGTGTTCAAAATCTCACATTGTAATCATGGCTCAATCGCCTGTAAGTACAAGCTCATCCTACTTCGATCCCATACCATATTTTTGCGCCCTTATTTTGGAAGTCCTCCGAAGACGTCCATGATTGACTAGCAAACTCACGCTTAACTTCTTTACAGGCTGAACTTATGGATATTGATCGTCCGCAAAGCGATTCAGAGGTAGGCTTCGCGTCAGTCCAGCAGTCTGGGAGCAGTTGATGGCTACGATAAGATCATTCGAATTGGACACCATACACTAACCGTCATTACTCTTTCAACATTACATTCTCTGATGATAGTCGAGCGCGTCTGAACATACTCACGATGTAAGTTTATTCGTAAATATTGATTGAGCGACTTTCGCCTCCAAAAGGAAAAGCCCCTGACCTTTTCATGCTATTCCAGGATGGTGCCTATATGGATAAGAAAGAACGTATTCAACATCAGAAGAAACAGTTTGCCGATACCGCAAAACGCCTGAATGAATCCAAGGTACTGTAAATTCACCACCACCACCGTCTTTCATCACCCCAGCTTTCATTAACAAAATTATTTATGCTATCACCTGCATTTGAATCGCGTTCTGCCATTAGGATGCAGACAGATTGAAGCGATACCGATACTTGTTGGGACAAACTGAACTTTTTGCCCATTTTTTTAATCTGAAGGTTGAGCAAGATGAAGAGCTGCGTAGGGTTATGGAGGAGACAAACAATTCGTCGAAGCCTCAGGATGAAGAAGGGTACGACCTGGAGATCTCATGAGAGCAATGTACAAGGTTTATGAAACTAACAAATGATATCCCTAGCAGTTCCCGACGTCGAAGAAAGACGGAAAAGGAGGAAGATGAAGAAATTCTGAAGGATGAAGGCGACGAAAGCGATGAACTCCCTACTGTCTTTACCGAATCACCAGCTTGTATGTACTTTTATGACAAAACGGATTTTTAGCAGATATCTGGCGTTTCTAAATGTGTTCATTTGCAATAGATGTTGTTGGCGGAAAGCTAAGAGACTATCAGGTTCAAGGTTTGAACTGGATGATTTCACTTTTCGAAAATGGTATCAACGGAATTCTTGCCGATGAAATGGGTCTCGGTAAAACTTTGCAGACCATTTCCTTCCTTGGTTACCTCAAGCACTTCCGCGATATTCCTGGACCTCATTTGGTTGTGGTTCCAAAGTCAACTTTGCACAACTGGGAAAAGGAATTTGGAAAATGGGTTCCCGACTTCAAGGCCTTTGTACTTCATGGAAGCAAGGAGAAAAGAGTGAGTTAATACCTGAGCGATGTCCATTGTGAAGTGCTTGATTACCTATATTATAATTTTCAACTAATGCACATCAAATCACAGAATGAACTGATCAAAGATCGTCTACTTCCTTTGAACTTTGAAGTATGCATTACTTCCTACGAAATGTGTTTGATGGAAAAGTCGCATTTCCGCAAAATCTCATGGCAGTATATCATCATTGACGAAGCTCACCGTATCAAGAACGAGAACTCTATGCTATCACAAATTGTCAGAGCATTCAACTCCAAAAATCGATTGCTCATTACTGGTACACCATTGCAAAACAACCTCCACGAACTTTGGGTAAAGTATCGCGTATGACATTTCATGTACTTATTCTTGTTCTCCTTTCTGACTTGTGAATTGTAGGCTTTGTTAAACTTTTTGTTGCCGGATGTATTCAGCTCGTCAGAAGATTTTGATGAATGGTTTGAGAAACAAGGAGGTGATCAAAAGAAAGTTGTAGAGCAGCTTCACAAGGTAACGCGTTCTTTCAACGAAAGAGAATGTGACCACCACTATAAGCTAACCCGATTCTATTCGTAGGTGCTACGACCTTTCTTACTTCGAAGAATCAAGGCTGACGTCGAAAAGTCGCTTTTGCCTAAGAAGGAAATCAACGTCTATGTTGGAATGAGCGCCATGCAACGAAAATGGTATCAAAAGCTACTTGAGAAGGATATCGATGCCGTGAACGGTATGTAACACCCTGTTAGATCTATCCACAGTACTGTCGCATCTAAACCATTGTTAATCATTTTCTAGGAGCTGGAGGGCTTAATAAACGTGAAGGCAAAACGCGTCTTTTGAATATCGTTATGCAGCTGCGAAAATGCTGTAACCATCCATACTTGTTCGATGGCGCTGTAAGTTTTATGTTGAACTAAAGACTTTCCATGACTTGCAATCTAAGCTTTATGTTGTGATAGGAACCCGGACCCCCTTTTACGACCGACCAGCACATTGTTGACAATTCTGGTAAAATGGTTGTTTTGGACAAGCTTCTTACTCGCATGAAAGCCCAGGGATCTCGCGTGTTGCTCTTCAGTCAAATGAGTCGTGTGTTGGACATTCTTGAAGATTATTGTTGGTGGCGCGGATATGGTATGTGCTTTTTTAATTGCTAGCCACTGCTGAGTGGACAATAGTTAACCTGTCATGTTTCAACTAGAATACTGCCGTATTGATGGTCAAACTTCGCAAGAAGACCGTATCGATGCCATTGACGAATACAATAAGCCTGACAGCAGCAAGTTCATCTTTTTGCTCACCACTCGTGCTGGTGGTTTGGGTATCAACTTGACATCTGCTGATATTGTGGTCTTGTTCGATAGCGACTGGTTCGTATCATCATAGTCCGTTTTTCCGGTGTTCCAATACTGGCCTGCTAATCTTCCATCATTTTTTCTTATATAATAGGAATCCCCAAGTGGATTTGCAAGCCCAAGATCGTGCTCATCGTATCGGTCAGACAAAGCAAGTTTATGTCTTCAGATTTGTGACTGAGGTAAGGAAGAACATATTACTTTGGTCTAGGTAGAATCATGTTGCTCTCAATGCTAACGATATCAATCCAACTTTCAGAATGCTATTGAAGAGAAGGTTTTGGAACGAGCTGCGCAAAAATTGCGTTTGGACCAATTGGTTATTCAGCAAGGACGCATGACTCAGCAGCAAAAGGGTGCATCTAAAGAAGAGCTATTGACCATGATCCAACACGGAGCTGAGAGCATTTTCAAGGACACTGACGCGTACGTACAAACCTGATGTTATGATTATTTTGCACTGTTCTGGAACGCTCTCTTAATCTTCATATTCGACATTTAGAAGCACTGTTTTGGATGATGACATTGAAGAAATTTTGAGACTTGGCGAAGAAAAGACTGCCGAGCTCAACAAGAAATACGAGAATGTCACAATTGATGATCTTAAGAATTTCACTTCCGACAGCGCTTACCAGTGGAACGGTGAGGACTGGAGCAGCAAGGTAGGTTGAGCGCATAAGGCTTATATATATCAGTTCAGTATGGTGTTTAACTTTAGTTTTCTTTTGATCCATTAGCGAAAAGCTGGTTCTGGGTTCGCTTGGCTTGGTCCCGCTAAACGTGAAAGAAAAGCCAACTATGCTGTGGATGATTATTATAAGGAAGCTTTGCGGACGTCATCAAAGACGGCATCCACTAAGGCACCACGACCAAAGCGATACAATGTGTAAGTCATCTGATTAAGCTTCGTAGGCATTGATGATGACCACAGTGTTTAACTTGGTATCCTGGTTTTTTTTTTAATTTTTTTTTAGCGAAGATTTCCAATTTTTCCCACCGCGTCTTCAAGAGCTTAACGAAAAGGATACTTTATATTTGAGGGTAAGGACTTCTTGAAGTGTATGTTTGATAATATTGGCTCGGCCAGTAATGCTGATCTTCACATTGTAGAAAACACTTGGCTACAAAGTGCCTCCCGTGACAGCTGATAAGGATGACAAAGACCCAGCTGAACTGGAAAAGGCTAGGGAAGAAGAGCAAAAGAAAATTGACGAAGGTAATATAAGCTAATGGATTGCATCGCTTGCTAAATTTGGTATAGTCACTGACTCTTCATTATGTAGCGGAACCGCTCACGGAAGAAGAGGAAGAAGAGAGAAGAGAATTGTATACAAAGGGATACTCTCATTGGAGCAAGAAGGATTTCAGTAACTTTATCAATGCATGCGCCAAATTCGGAAGGTATGTTTAAGATGTGTCCTTGGTAGTGCGGTGCGCAAGCAATTAACTCACCTCCGTTATGTTACGTCTCTCTTAATTCGACAGACACGATATCACTGATATCGCTACTGAAATAGATGGAAAAACCGCAGATGAAGTGAAAAAGTACTCTAAAACGTTCTGGTCTCGATACAAAGAGATTACGGATTATGAGCGTTATATCACCAAAATCGAGAAGGGTGAAAGCGAGATTGAGAAACAGGCCGAAATCCAAGAGCAGTTGACCGCCAAAATTGGTCGTCATCGTCTTCCTCTCCAACAGATGAAGATTCACTACACACAGCCAACCAAAGGAAAGAACTATACGGAAGAAGAGGATCGATTCTTGATTGTCATGCTTGAAAAGTATGGCTACGGCACTGAAAATGTTTATGACAAGATTCGACAAGAAATCAAAGGATCTCCACTCTTCCGCTTTGATTGGTTCTTGAAATCCCGAACTTCTCAAGAGATTTCTAGGCGTTGCAACACCTTGATCAGTTTAATTCAGAAAGAAAATGCAGAACTGGAAGAAGAGACCAAGGAGGATAAGAAGGTAACATATTTAACGTACGGTGGGTGATCTATTGCAACGCTTATTCACATTTCTTTCGTTCTCTTTCCAATAGAAGAGAGGCACTTCAAAAGCCAGTACACCGGTGTCGTCCAAGTCGAGACGTCGTTAATTTACAATTTTTTTAGAAGAAATTCACTGCGATCCAGCAACCACACGTTCAGAACTTGACAGATGAAGAAACGTCACTTGCTTTCTTACACAAGGGATTTTTGGCTCCGCATCATCTGAGAGTTTATGATAGAAACACACACCCTTTCCGTTTTACTATAGTCTTTGTTCTTTACCATATCTTTTTAACGTGAAAAGAAGAACGGCTTTACAACTAGTATGTAGAAATTTTTCCAATACATATATTGTGCTTCACCCGTATGTTCCACAAAGACATTGGCAATCATTGTTACGTTTTGATCAAGCGCGCACTACACACTAATATGTGGAAGTCATAAAGTAGGAAATCGATTGTAATTATAAAATCAAACACACAAAAAAGGAAAGCAAGAAGTACATGAGATTGCATTGCAATTATTGTATCCGCTGCATCATAAAGTCAAATATAACCTAAGGAGATTTAGCCTGAACGATATCACAGTCAGTCACACTATATTAACGCGAGTCTTGGACAAATGGGACGGCAGTTACTTACATGCACAGTTATTGGGATTGGTAGGGCGAGACAAATCAACTCCTCGAGGGTTCAGTCCCTTGTTCTTATTACGAGATTGGTCTGCTAGCTGATCGAGTGGCATGCGTTTTGCTAATCGTCACAAAGAGTTGGTTAGCTGTGGGTCACGAATTTCAAACCAGAAAGCTATACATATTTCGAAAGGGTCCTCACCTATAGACGTGAATAGCTGTGTTACGTTGTGAGCAGTCTTTGCGGAAGTTTCAAAGAAAAGCAAACCAGCTTCATCAGCATATGCTTGTGCAGTCTATTGCAAAAAAAAAAAAGAAAGAAATTCATTCATCAGATTAGCGTGTCTATGGTTTTGCTAATCAAGAGTTTATAAGTGCATACCTCGGTCTCCACAGCTCTTCGAGAGTCCAGATCGCTCTTATTACCGGCAAGTGCAATAACGATATTTGGATCCGCTTGGCGTTGTAATTCGTTTACCCATGCCTTTGCTTTCTCAAGCGAAGCCTAATGCTAAAAGTCAGTCCCTATGTTACTGAAAAAACCACCATAGGCTAAGCCTTTCAAACTCACACTTTGTGTAATATCGTATACGACAACTGCGCAATTGGCATTGCGATAATACATTGGTGCTAAGCTCTAAAATGATAGGGACAATTGAAGAGAAATCAATACGAAAAGCTATCATGATGTGGTTGTACATATGTAGTAGATGTCCTCATTCTCTTTACCTTATATCTTTCCTGACCAGCGGTATCCCTATCAAGCATCAAAAAATAGGTTAGATGAAATAGTGGTTTGAACTACAGAGAAAGCGAGACGTACCAAATTTCGAATTTGACAGTGGTATTATCGTCAAGTGAGATGGTTTGGGCCAAGAAAGCGGCTGCAGGAAGTGGGTTAAAAAGAAGCTCAGAGGATAGCGAAAAATATCATAACGGCTCATACCTCCAATAGTACTTTCCCTATATTCATCAAAATGATCCTTGACGAACCGCATAACCAAACTAGAATAAAAACATAGGTCGTTAGCGCAGCGGTTCACATGGTGTCAAAGTGAAGATTGTAATTTAAAACATGGACGACGGTGTTGGAAAAGCAAGATCGTTTGGAGTGACGGGTTGGTGGGGAGACATTCATCAATCTATCTGAATTGGGCGGTACACGTTGCGCAACAATATTGTAAAAGGTTTCTGTTCTCACCTTGACTTTCCTACGGCCGATTCGCCTATAAGTGATGGGTTAATTTAGTGATTCAGGACTTTTGCCAAGCAGAGCTCATATTAACCGCCGACTAGTTTTTAGTATGAGCGTTGGATAAGTGTCCAAGGATGCATTACCTAATAGTACCAGCTTAAACTGGTAGGTTTTTCCTTGAGTTGATGCACCTTGTTGCTGTTGTTGTCTAGCTGCCATTTTTTCACGAACTGGTAGTGGTGATGATTGCTGGCAAGTACAAAACCTACCAGCCCAATTTCAGGTGGATTGTAAGTCCCGCTGGCTGGAGCCATATCCCCCACCAAAATTCCTACGTCATACGGGCATTTCATGTGGTCCACCCTTTCACCTTTTGAGCGTCCCACTAACGAAGTACGTTGTTGACATCGTATTTATCAATATAATTATGTATTTGTTGATTATAAAGCAATCGTACTTATTCAATGCATGTGTCGATATCTATATTGTATTCTGATTCTCTGTTATGTACTCCCAATACCTACTGATCGACAGCCAGGAGTGCGTTTACACGGTGGATACGAAATTACAGTATATCGATGAGAAAAGCTGGTGCATACTTGGACAGTCTTTTTTCCCTAGTCACACGATCAATTACACACATGCAATGGAGATCCTAAGGGATACGCTAACACTGCTTAGCAGTAGGAGATATCCATCGAATTCAGCTACGTATGGCTAACTATGAACGAAAGGTATATATATAAAAAAAAGGACAACTTTCATAGCTGAAGCCCTCGCTCAACTACAAGTGGGGATATTTTATTGAAATGGATCATCGTAAATGTGCCAGAAATATGCCCGAAACAGATCATTGACGTAGAACAATAGATACCGACGAATGTGCTTGCTTGCTGTATCAAGACAAATCCTTACGATAGCAATATGTTCCCACAATGTGTATTAAGCTACAAGTGTCACGAAAGAAGTCTATAACTTGGTAATCTACTAGATCAGCATGGAAGATACGCGGCGATTGAAGAAGCAGATTCTAGACTGAAACCGTCATGTTTCGTCTACCTTTCAATTTTTTTTACCGTGACGGTGGTGGCATGATTAAATTTTAACTCTCCCAAATTTTTCTATTGCCTTCCGAGATTCCAACCTTTTCACTTTCGTCATGAGCCAACAGAAAACTTTTAAGCATACGTTTACTTACACTGCCCCGGAAGCGAAGAGTGTTTTAGTAACTGGTACCTTTGATAACTGGAGCAAGACCCAAGTTCTTGACTTTGTCAATAACGGCATGTTCACTGCCACCGTGCAGATTCCGTACGAGACTCCTGGTCAAGACATCCTCTACAAATATGTTGTTGATGAACACTGGCTGACCGACAGTAAGACTGAAACTACCACTGATGCTGAGGGGAACGTCAACAATATTTTGCATGCTCCCGTCGAACCAGAGCTTGCACAGACATCAGTCAGCGAAGCCAACGTAGCCGACGCTGGACCGGAACAGCCAAAGCAGGAATCATTACCTCCATTGTTCGTACCCCCAGTTGTACTTCCATCTGACCGGGCAGCTTATGAAGGTAATACATGTTATAATTTGCCGCTCGGATACGTCACATCTTAGAAGTGAAGGGTCGGAAGATCATAGCGCTAGACCTTTCGTCTTGCAAATGAAAGGAATCTGCAATCCAATACATGGTTGACCAATATTCTGACCGATCTATTCAATTTGATACAGCTGCCGTTGCTAAAGGTGACAATGAAGTTGTAAAGCCACAAGCAACCAATATCGAAAGCTTCCCTGTTGTTGAGAACGATCTCGATAGAGCGAACTCTCCGGGTAAGTCATTGAGATGAAGATGTTAGGAAAAGGAAAGAGGTAGCTTCCATAACTGTTTTACTGATTGATATCGTTCCTTTCCTTGCTTTATTCTTATCATTTGTGATATAATCTCTCACCTGGTCCATGCTTTCCATTTCTATGTCCCGCATGTTACTGTGTGACACTCATGACGTCGTCCTGTGATTATGTCAATGTAACCAGTCATTGTTGAACCTCCTCATACGGTTCAAGAGCCAGGTTAGTTACCTTATTTCATCCCTGCTGATTGATATTACTTGCAACTCCTTTGGGCAATGTGTGAGTGAAGGATGCGCTTATGATCACTCTGTCGTTTGAGATGTGATCAGCTAAGCTTGATCTATTCACCCGACTTTGTTTTGTTTCCGCTCTCAGTTTGTTTCTACTTCTTCTTCTATACCCAAACATAATTTAATATGCTTCGAGCCCTTAATGTCTTTGCCACTTCGGCCTCCAAGAAAGACTCTGTCACTAACGAAAAACCGGTTATTACAGAGCATGACAAGGTAGCTGAGCCCCCTGTTGCCACCCCTCCTGAAAATATTGAAGCCCTTACGGAGCCCACCAATGAAGAGCAGAGTGCCACCAGTAAGTTATAACGCAGAAACTTTTGTACAAGTTGGGAGGAGTTGCAAGAGAAATGTCATCTAAACTGGCCACATCTTTTGTATTAGATGCCGTAGAAGAGCCATCCGGAGCAACTGCCAACGCAGAGCCAGCAGCAGCTACTACAGAAGTCACTGCTGACAGTGCCAATGCTAATAACACCACCGAAACTACTGGAGCAACTAATCAGGACACCCAGGCAAATACTGCCGCTCCAGCTCCAGAGCCTACTGTCTCTACCACTGCTAATGGACATAAGATCAAGGAGAAAAAGAACTCGCTTGGTAGCAAAATTAAGGGTTTCTTTAAGAAGTTGTAATCAAATGGCTAATTTGTTGTAAGGGAGTAATTCCTCTCTCTCTCTCTCTCTCTCTCTCTCTCTCTTTCTCTCTTTTATTACCTTATTGTATGTGTAATGGCACCATCCTTCTTCTTAAATATTAATTTTTCAAAGCCGTACCGATTCTTTCTCTGTCCTATATCGTTATTTCCTCTATTAAGCTGACATTTACTCTAAAGCATCTGCAGCCATTAAAATATATTTTAGTTGGACTTACAAATTAATTGAGAAACAGAGGATAGTCCCAAACTCAAGCGCAATGTTGACAGGTGGAGTTTGTATGTAAAAAATTTATTTTGATGTTTAGAAGCTGACATCATTACATTTTTACATTTTTTTTGCCTGAACAATCGCAGGCACTTGGAAAACAAGTAAAAAATAACGAGCTTAACGACTCATTGCTTGACTTGCCATGCCACCGTCTCTTGCGCTCCCTTCACCGGGAAGCAAGTCTGTAACTACTATACTGTCCTATAGACGGACATGGGTTATGTTGCAGAAGACCTTGTTGTCTAGTTTTGATACACCTGTGCCTCGACACATGACAACTTGGACAAAGCAACACCACTCGCGCAAATCGTCCAAACCGAGATCAAATTATAGTACTTCCAGGCACCCTACAGCTAGCCTGTGTACGAAAAGTATAGGAAACATCTTGGATCCTCACCAAAAACACCATGCGTTGGATACTAGCACACAATCATTGTTCAGGGGAACCGGCTCTTCAAGGAGGTTTCGTTCGTCTCAAGCAGCAAAGGTCACTTCCGTTCAATTAGAAGGCGAGGAGACAATTAACAAACAACAGCCAAAAGGTGCAACAATGCCATCCCATGGATCCATATATCAGCGGAATATTAATGAGTCAGGACACTCTCCAACCATATGTGCGTCAAAAGCGTTATATCAACGATGGAGACAGTTTCGATACAGCAGAACCGAAGACTTTGACAAGATGTTGATGGATCTAAGCCAAAGAGGATATGAATTGACACCTTTACAGCAATTCAAAATTTTGCGTGGCGCATTATATCAGATACCTGAACAAAACTGCCAAATGACTTGGAAAGTATACCAGCGATTGATCGAACGTGGACTTGACAGCTTTATGGAAGGCAACAATTACAGCCGTCTGTTGAATAACCTCAAGTATGGAAAAAGCAGCGACACTGTTCAGCGTATGCTTTCCGTTCTGGATCGGATGGAAAAGGCAGACCCTACCATGCCCTGCAGCTATCACTACTCCCAGATACTATTCGCCCTCTCTAGACATGGGCAGGTTCAGAAAGTTCGAGACCTTATGATAGATATGCATGACAAACACCTAGCGCTGTCGTCATCGCATTATACCTCGTTGGGTGTTGCCTGCTTGAATGCCCAGCCTGATACATTCTCCATAGACGACATAATTGCTGATTTTTCACATGCAGCGACGGTAGATCGCATTATACCTGAACGTCAAGCATGCAACATCATCGTTGAACTACTTTGTCGACGCTGTGAATTGCCTCGCGCTATCAAATTTTTACAATCAATGGAAGACGCTGCAGTAGATGCTGGACGCCTTTCACCGGACGCGCGAATGTATACCGAGCCTGATGTGTATACATATACCTCGCTGATTGCAGGATTTTGTCGAATGGGTGATCTAAAGGCAGCAAAGCGAGTTTTAGACGACATGACTCAAGCCAAGGTTTCACCAAATATTGTTACTTATGCTATCCTGGCCAACGGTTACTTGCAGCATCGAAAGACCAAGGAGGCACTCAGTTACATTGAGCACATGCGGTTGGTGGAGAGTACTGCCAAGCATCCAGTATATATGGCTCTCATGGTGAAAGCGCTAGCGCTCGATATGCGTAAAGTTGCCGAGGATTTGTACAAGGCGCTGAATGTAGAGATCAGTGGGAATTGGAATGCTCTGGACAACATGCAACGATCTGCATACGTTTTGATGAAGTTGGCAAATGGAAACACAAGAGGCGTTCAAAGTCGATTCCGGCACTATCTCCAGCACCAACCTGAGCTGATCAATTCGGTCATGGTCAATCATCTTATCCGCAGCCTGGGTATGAAGGGGGATATTAAAGGTGTTGAAGAAGCCTTTTCGTGGTTCGATTCAACTTCCGGCTCTCGTCACAAACTTGAACGCACTCGATATACCTATCATCACTACGTGCAGGCGCTCTTCGACTGTCAACAAACCGAAAAAGCGTTTGATGCGGTGACGGATATGAAGACACGAGGGTTTTCTGTGGATGCACTTACCTATGCCATCATCATCAAAGGACTTGTGGCCAATAGAGAGCTGGAAACGGCTTGGAAGATGTTTGAAATAATGAAACAAGATTGCACAACTCAAATTGAACCGAATGAGAAGACTGCGTATGCCCGTGACTCGCCCTTCATACGTGCAATATCATCCATCATGTCTGGTTTAGTGGATTCGGATCTTGGAAAGCAAAGCGATAGTATGAATGAACACACTCGTGATGCCAATTTGTTAGCGGACACGTTTACTGAACTTCGTGACATGGACTCCATGCCCATGACGCCACAAGCCAAAGATACCCACAACAAGGCTCAACCTGGTATTCAACGAGCATTTGCGATGTTTAGAGATCTGCAGAGTTCAAGGATTACCCGCCCAAACGTATATACATATTCAATCATCATTGCTGGATTTGCCAAACATGATATTCGTCGCGCCATGCAGATATTTCAGCATATGTTGGCTGACGGTATCCCGCCCAACGACGTCGTATACACTGCTTTAATTCAAGGTTTTGCCATCGCGCGTGATGCTAAAGGCGCATTAGCCCTCTTTGAAGACATGAGACAGCGCGAAATAGAACCTAATCAATTCACCTGGCATTACTTGCTTCGTGCCATGCTTCGATCTGGTGTTGACAAGGAATATGTTGATCAGGTCGGACATGCTTCTCGCAACGGCTTGCCATACAAACCACGCAAGCATAGAACCAAAAAATGGGAGCTCCTTGCTTATGTAAATTAGACCGTCAGATCCAACATTTTACTAGTTGCTTTTTTCTCACTCTTTATATTGTTTGCAAACTTCCTTCATCATCTTAATAGATCTAGAGTTGATTCGTATACCATCGAGCATTTACAGCTCCTCCAAAATAAAAATCTGTACATTTGTTCGACTCAGAATAAAAGAAATTTCATTCCTTTTGAAATATGTTTATTTTTACGTGTTTGCTCCATGGCATCTATGATTACGTTGCAAGTAGAGACATTAAGAGTGGCAATTCAGTGGCAGCAGATTATAATTCTATGACATTGAAGGTTGGCCAGTAAGGGTGGTACTCAAATGATATGTTAATTTTGGCTGATGTGTTCTTCATTATTCGCGTTATGGCCACTTGGTTAGAAATACAGGTTCGCATCATGGCTTGCACGTCCTATGTGAGTAAGGTGTTATATTAGCAAATGTCATTGGGATACCTTGTTCATTCCACTTTCATATTTACCTTTTTATACGAGTCAGCGCAAAGCTCTGTCTTGGTCTGTAATGCGCTTTCTGGAATAATGCGTCTGAGATTATCTTTTGCTCTATTGAGGCTCATCTGAGCAGCGTGCAACTGGTCCATAGGCTAAAGAGAGAATATTAGTAAGTGCGTAGAAACGGACAACAATATCGACGCATGAAAAATACCTTCTCCGATGCAACATTCACATCATTTCGAAACCGTTCATAAGGTGGAAGTTCAAAGTTCCAGAGATTGGCAAACGCCTTGAATCTATGTTGATAACGTGTTTCCTCGTCGTCAAAGGCTAAACTTGGTTTTTTGATTAAATTTATCTTCTCGAATGCAATCAAAGTCTAGCAAGTGAAAGAGACATAAAGATTAGTATTTGATGTAAACCATTACAACTGTTATAGTAGTTGGTACTCACTCGCCAAACAGATATGTTCAGATCGTATTTGATGCTGTTAATCAACTGCAAAGATTGGAATTCACATATTCTTTGTCGTTTCTGCGATGTGGGTGAAGATTGGCGAGCGTTGCTGCTTGTGTACGGTTCAGAGTACACGTCGCTTATGGCAATGTTCGCTTGTATATGTGAGTAGACATTATGTCGATAGGTTAGCAAGTAATCTACAAACCTGGGAGAAAAGCCAGTCAGATGGTTGCGCATCAAGGACGGTAAAATGAACAGCAAGCAGCAACTCACCAATAAATCATGGTGTATTCATGCGATCCATAAAGCTCAAGCTCAAATCCGAGCAATAGAATGGTCTCGATCATGTTAAGCCTACGATGATTTGTCCAATGGTAAAAATAATATTTACTTTCGTCGAACTGTAAAAATGGATATCTTAGACTTTGGTGTTACACCATCAACACTTTAAAAGCTGGTCCACTTACGCAAATTTCATTTAACTTTTCGTCCAGTGTGAAAGCCTAAGCGACCAATGTCATTTAGTGTTGCTGCTATACAGTCGTGAATATATGTCTTTAACTAACCTCATTCAAGAGAATTTCCCATTCTCCTAGTACTTTACACATTATCCGACGTTGCCGTGCTCGATTGTGACAATATATCCTGAAGATATCCAGGAAAGGCTACGATGATAACGTCAATAACTTGCTCATTATCCACATTGTTTGATACATAATGTTACAATGCTTACCAGTCCAGCACGCTCTAGAAAGGCATTGATTGCTGTTTTCGTCTCACGATAGCTCTCCTCTTCGATGCTTTGTGGTCGATGTTTAGAAAACCACCAAGATGGAGGTTGTAGCAAGTCAATCATGGATTCCGCGACAACCTCGTCAAGAGGGCATGACCCCAGGAATCGATAACTATGGTATATACTCGTCTGCAATTGCTGTGAGTAGAATGGATGTGCTTCTCAAGCTGATAATGATACTTACATTCAATTTTGACCGAGAAAATGCATCCGGATAGGGTCTGGAGGAAGCGAAATATTTACAAAAATTCTGTATAAAAAATATATGAGAAATTGCGAATGTTTTGAATGCATGAGTCGCAATGCTTTAGCTTACCAAAAGGGAGGCTACAGATTGGTAGTCCACAATGGAGCAAAGGGATGTCAGTCGACTTGACAGGTGGACAAAGGACTCCAGTGCCTATAAAAACAAAACGAATCCAATAAATTGTTGGTGAAATATATTCATAATGATAGACGAGGAGAGGCCAGCATACCTCGGCCTGAGTGGGCAATATAATTGGACGAGGAGGTGTCTGTGAAGTCAAAATGCGATTGATATTTTCGTCAAACGCTGGAACAAAACATGAGTCAAAGTAGCAGAGGGTTACGCAATGTAGAATCCACATCAATCAACCTACCACCATCCACTTCTTTTCCCAAATTCTGAGTGTTAAGAATCGATCCAGCATCTTTGCTAGTTAGCAGCTTTGTAAGCTCTTGTAACTCAGAGTCTGCCTTATGATACCATTCACACTTTGGTTGCGAAAAATACATATGGGCCAGGAGATAATGTTTGCGAGCATAAAGGCGGTTGAGTAGACCTTCGAACACAGCCAAGTTTTCTGAAAAGCGGATATGGCTAAACGACCCATATTTGTGCCCACACTTCCATACACACAACACTTACCGCCTCCCTCTGACGCCATTCTCTTCTTGAATTCAGATAACCAGTGTATAGCATAGTCTATTGCGTTTAACACTTCGGTGTCAGGATAATGTTCGCCTAATGACAGTCCAAACAGGTTCGTAGTAAAGTCTTCTTCCTGAATACACCCAGGTAAAACAGAATGATGAGTTCCTTCGTTCACAAATGTTATCTCACCTACAATTGTGCATGATGACTGAGCCACATACCTCATAGACATTTCCTGAAACCATTTCCCTCCATATTAAGTGGCAGCACTTTGTAGTTGCCAGTACATATGCTTTCAACACAGAGCTGACCAACTCTGGAGGCTGATCTATGCGCTGAGACGGTTCAATTTTTTCTTGCACCAGTGAAAAAACATCATGGAAGTACATGCAAGTAAATATCGTCTGCGACAGAGAATGCCCAGATAACCATGCCATCTGCATTGCGAAAAATTGATGAGCTTCTTTCCAAACGCCGTTTCATATGGTTACGCATAGACGCACCTCACAGCTCAACAGTCGGTCGATGACCCAAAGCACTTGCTCGCCACTAAGAGATTTAAGCGGATCAAATGGCTTTTTCTTGTCACCTTCCAATATCATCCCGGTGTCCATCTTTGGATCCATGATTTCGATGGCGCTCATAGCATCAAACAGCGTAAATGACTGTAAATGAACTAATTGCCCAACATCAAGATCTGCAATTTTAAGTTCGGTTATTATCAGGTTTCTTTTTGCATGGTCGATTATATGTAAATATCATGTACCATTCGATGCATTGTCTAACAACGTGGTGATATCTTTCCACTGGGGAACAAGGTAGTCGTTCTCGCGGTAAGGATTATATATCTCTTTTTCCGGGACATCTATGGCAAGTTTTGATATCGCTTCTTAAGTTGGAGCGTTAAAATAAAAGTTAGAACTTATGCACGCAATCAAAGGCTATCGTGTGTAGATTCAATATTATGGTCATACCCCTGATCTGATTGGTCTGACTAGACTCAGGCTGCTCCCTATGCATTCAAAAAAAGTCTTCATTAATGACCATCCGAGGAGCATGCTATACACGCAATGACAGGTACCGAAAGCTGCTTACTTCTGTGGTGCTGCCATGACAATGTTGACTTTCTCGTTTGCAAACTCAGTCGCCATCAAAGTCTCATTCGGACGCTCAGCACGTGACCCGTAAAAACCGACCAGCAAACTTGGTTTTCACAAAAAAGTTACCTGACAAAAATTCCATTCTTTCACTACACATTCTACTATGGAGAGCGTACTGGAGCAGCAGAGAAGGTAGGTTAAATGACACGAAACAGGATTTGATTAGACATGCATTGAACCATTTTGTCATAGTGCTCACGAAGAGATCGAGCGCTTAGAACAAGCCATCGTCGATCAGTACATGAATCAGCCGAAAACTCAAAAGGAACGACTAGAGAATGAACACGTTGTCAACAAGTTTCTGAACAAAATAACTGAAAAGAGCCAGCAGTTGTACGATCTTTACGAGGACAAGGACGGGTAGGTTTTTTCAATCTATAAAATTGACATTGACTAGTCGTGACGCATGGCTGTGCGATCTTTCTCGTATTAACTTCGCATCGATTTGGTAGAGCGCGGAAGAAAGAGATAGACGCATTAGCAACAACATCTGACACATTTGGAGATTTCTATGAACGACTCCGAGTTATAAAGGATCATCATCGCAAATATCCCAATGAATTTGTTGTACCATCAGAACTACAATTCATCATTCAAGAAAGACAAAAGCTCGAGGACGGTTCTGAAGAAGCTGGTAAGAGGAAAACAAAGTTTTTATACTTCTTATTGACGTGGCTAATGCTTTGAATAGAACTAGATACTCTCTTCTCTGGAGAAGAAGGAAATGGTCGGTTTTTGGATCTTAACCCGTTATATACACAATACATCAACCTTAAGCACATCAAACGGGTGGACTATTTGGCATATCTTTCAAACTTTGACGACTTCAAAGGATCATATCCTAAGGAAACAAAGACAACAGCGGATTACAGGAACTATTTGACAGCGTTGCAATCTTACCTTGAAAGCTTCTTCGCCAGAGCAAAGCCTCTTTACAATCTTGACGCTTTACGAGAAAAGTCCAAGGAAAAGTTCGAGTCAGATTGGAAAGAGAAGAAGGTGCCAGGATGGGAAAAGAAGCTTGGGGAGGAGGAGGAAGCTGCACCAGAGCTATTTTGCATCGCATGTAAGTTTTCATTGATCTCTATCGAAACAGTTTCTCTCCCACATTCAATGTATTAAATTACTATATTTCACTTCTGAAATATTTAGGCCAAAAGCAGTTCAGCAAGCAAACAGTGTTCGATGGTCACTTGACAGGAAAGAAGCATATAAAGGCGCAAAAGCAGCTATTGGAGCAAAAAGGACCCAATCTTGATCAAGCCGAAATAGAGAAAGCCAGACAAAAGGCATTAGAAGAGAAGGAGGACAAGGATAAGCCTGTTGCATGGCAAGAAGTCCTGATCTCAAGCTACGTAGACGCGCTATCAAGTCACCGTGAAGATACCAAGGCTAACGTTGAACGAAAGCAAGCACTTACAGATAGGGAGCGAGCGATAGAACAAGAGCAGGAAGATCATGAACTCGTTGAAAACGAGTCTGATGACGATGACGAAGACAAGATTTACAATCCTCTCAAACTCCCTCTTGGCTGGGACGGCAAACCCATTCCTTACTGGTTGTACAAGCTTCATGGTCTCGGTGTTGAATATCCATGCGAGATTTGCGGTGACTTCGTATATATGGGTCGCAAAGCATTTGACAAACATTTCCAAGAGTGGCGACACGCCCATGGTATGCGTGCTCTAGGTATACCAAATACACGCCATTTCCATGAAATAACGCAAATAGATGATGCATATACTCGTAAGTTCTTTTTCTTTCATGGCTGTTCCAGCTCACGGCTGACTTATAGCTAATGGATACTTTTCTTCATTTCAGTATGGGATAAACTCAAAAAGAAAGGTAGAGCGGATGAGTTCAAAGCTGATACGTTGGAGGAGTTTGAAGACGCCGAAGGCAATGTATTCAACAAGAAGACATATGAAGACCTTAAGCGACAAGGCATTCTCTAGACGTGGATCATATCTTTTTTTCCATGTTTACGCAAGAAAAATAGAAAAATAATGTGCTAGTTCAGTAGTCCTTAGGGTGATTATTATTTTCGCAAATTTTAACAATGTAATATCGATTTTTTTTTCTCAAATTGAACTGGTGTTGATGAAGTGAAAACCTGAACTACTGTAGATGATGTGAACTGCAACACGACATATATTTTATTATTGCATGGTATAAACAGATTTGTGTACAAATGACTCTATGGCAACCCTCTATTTCTTATTTCCTCTCAGTCTGTCATTCTTGCTGTACGGCAGATGGTTATTTCGATTCCTGGAAGGGTGATGTTGACGCCGCTTATCATTATAGCGATGCTGATGGTAATTTCTATAGCGTGGTCGGACAGTCTTTTCTAGAGGAGGATCACCTTCAATGTCATAAGTGTATCCAAGACAAAAATGTCCAGACATGATGGTAGGGGCTTCGTTACTTGGGGTCCAAATCGGCCGGTAACCTTCCTGTACATTATCCTTAAGTGCAGGCCTGCACCAGAGCGGAATGTATATTTCGTTGACACCTAGGTCTTTGCAGTATAGCTGATTATCCTCTACCTGAGCTTCTAGCGCAAGTCCATCAGGCGAGACTTCTCCAATGGATAGAATCTGTAGCTTTAAAGTATCGTTTGCTTTGGCCAACTTGATTAATTCCTGACCATAGTGTGTGTCTTTATCGATGGACTTTAATATAATTTCATCGCCGACGAAAGGAAAACGTTTCGCATTTTGAATGGTATCTGTAGACACAGATGATCCAACCTGTGCTAGCAATTTTTCGATTTCCGGTTCAGTGAACTTGATGTTTAAGCTCGATATAACGGGCTTCAGTACAGCTTTTCGCGTCCACCAAGTGACGATAGAATGTCGATCTTCAACATCTTGCGGTGGTGATTCGTTCTTTAACCGTCGTATATCGACCCTTTTGTTGTGTTCGTCAATAATACTTTTCATACACGCTAATTCTCGTCCAGGATCGAACCCACGAGGGGGGCTAACGATATGAAATACTTTGCCACTATCTAGAACATGCTGTGCGACCAACTGGCCTATCCATTGTTCAAATTTGGCAACATGGTTTTTGCGGTCATCATACATAACAAGCCTACGTAGGGATGGTTCTCGTTCGAGTAAATCCAATAAAAAAGTCTTCTTGAATTCCATGGTATTGTTGAAGGCTTGGATCCCGGAATTGAAGAGAGTTCCTTCTTCAATCATGTCTATGGGGTCTGGTCGCAGCGCTACAATATCAAACTGAAGGCCCTTGGACTCAAGCATACTAGTAATTATTTTTCCAAACGGATGAACCCGCCGTCCAGTAAGCATAACAGAGAGTTTGCTGCTATCTGCAATTGATTTCTTTGCCTCTTCAACCACTTCATCATTCCAATAGCTATCCCATGCAGATTGCTGTAGTTTGGTATTGTCACCTAGCGTCAAACTATTGATGTCCCGCCACCATCCTGGACCGATAGCACCTTCTACTAACACAATGCTATTGAGATTTTTGGAACAGATTTGGCTCATGAGAGGTGACATGAAGAGGGTCGAATCAAAGTCGAATATATCCAGCACAGTCGGTTTTGCGTCATTCTTATGCTGATAATACCTTGCCTGTTCGTACAATGTGTCTATGGCCTCTCTTTGCTCAGTTGTAATGTTTCGGCGACCATTTCTCTACATAGGATACCACTGTGAGAATCAAACTAAACCAATGGAGCTAATGTTACAGGTACGTACCGATGTATTTGTCATTCCAAGTTGTAAAAAGAACAGTAGAAATTTCGCAGCAGCTCGACTTTTTGACTTTTGACTCCGCCCCGCGGTCTGTGACTGCTCAACAGCTATGGACGGCCAGAGGTGAGAAAGATCAACGGCCATGCGTATTTGACTTTGAGCCGTTTTTAATGCATATTTCAAAGCACAAATCCAACAATACTACATAATATAATAAAATAGAGTGGGAAATTACATGGTGCGAACTACAAGTAAATAGCAACACGAATGGAAGTAATTTTCACAATAGTGTCGTCCAAGACATGTAATCACGAACACCAAATGATAAGCAGGCAGGTGAAGGTATTGTCAAAAGCGAACATCAACAATGGGAAGAACATATAGCGTTTGTCATCAGTTCAATGAGTTGGCACTGGGGCAAAGTCAGTTCACGTCGGTCATCCAAAAAAATTGTACTGACTAAGGGAGATTGTTGCGGGGAAATAGTCATCCGCTAAAAATGTATATAAGCTTTAATTTGGCTGCTCGCAACAAGCGCTTTCCACTTTTTCACTTTTTTCACACATATGGCATCCTCAAGACTGCAGCAAATCCAAACCCACTTGGCACCCAACCCTTCTGCACAGAAGACCAAGGTCGGTGTTCAGTCCCCTGAAGACGTTGTTGTTGTCTCTGCTCTTCGTACCGCTATTACCAAGGGTCGCAAGGGTGGCTTCAAGGACATGCTTCCTGAAGATATCCTCTCCGCTGTTCTCAAGGCCACTCTCGAGAAGACCAAGCTTGATCCCAAGCTTGTTGATGACATTTGCGTCGGTAACGTTGCTGCCCCTGGTGGTTTGGCCACTGCCTCTCGTATGGCTGCTCTTCACGCTGGCTTCCCTGATACCACCAGTCTCAACACCACCAACAGACAATGCTCCTCTGGTCTCCAAGCTTGCGTCCAGATTGCCACTGCTATCCAATCTGGTTTGATTGAAATTGGTATCGGTGCTGGCGTCGAATCCATGACTCAAAACTATTTCTCACGCAACATCACTACCTCCAAGAAGCTTACTGCAGAGTCCCAAGCTGCCGCCGACTGCCTTATTCCCATGGGGTATGTATTGACCTATATCTGAGTAACTTAACTTCATAGAAAGGGAGTATTAATCTTTGAACTTCATTTTCCAGTATCACCTCTGAGAACGTTGCTGCTGAGTGGAACATTTCTCGCTTGACCCAGGACGAGTTCTCCACACTTTCACACACCAAGGCCATCGCTGCCCAAAAGGCTGGTCTCTTCAAGGACGAAATTGTTCCCGTCACCGCCACCATTGTTGACAAGGATGGCAACGAAAAGACCATCGTTGTTGATCAGGACGAGGGTATGAGAGAGGGAACTTCTCCTCAGACCCTTGCCAAGCTCAAGCCAGCTTTCAAGGCTGACGGTAGCACTACCGCTGGTAACGCTTCCCAAGTCTCTGATGGTGCTGCTGCTGTTCTCTTGATGAAGCGTAAGACCGCCCACAAGCTTGGTCTTCCTATCTTGGGCAAGTATGTCACCTCTGCTGTTGTTGGTGTTCCCCCTAAGGTTATGGGTATTGGACCGGCTTTCGCCATCCCCGTTGCCGTTGAGCGCGCTGGCCTTAAGATCGATGATGTTGACATCTTCGAGTTGAACGAGGCTTTTGCTTCCCAGGCAGTTTACACTGTCCAAAAGTGCAACATCCCCATTGAGAAGGTCAACCCCAAGGGTGGTGCCATCGCTTTGGGCCATCCTCTTGGCTGCACTGGTGCCCGTCAAGTTGCTACCCTCTTCCCTGAACTCAAGCGTCAGAACAAGAAGATTGGATGCACCACCATGTGCATTGGCAGTGGTATGGGTATGGCTGCTATCTGGGAACGCGAATAAGTGTAGTTTAATACTAGCGTAATCTCCCTTTGGGGTCTCCCATTTTATTGTAGTATAGCAAAAAGATAAAAAGAAAATGCATTTTAATTATATCACCCGTAAGATTGTTTAGTCAAAAATGTTCCTGACGGATTTTTTTTTTTTTTTGTGATTGTGTTGTTCATGTAGCTTATCCCTCGTAATCGACTTGACTTTCTTCCTTGCAACAATGAGTTGTGCAGAGTCCGCCGCAACTGGTCCAATCATGTCATGGTAGCCCTCACGTCAGATACAGTCAAAGACGGTAAACATTAAACACACAATCATCTTACACTAGCAAGGTACACTTTTTATGACAAGTTTATATATGGTTTGTCTTTCCTTTATTTGCAAAGATACTGCTGATATTTCTTTCTTATTTTTCGTGTTTTTATTTTTCTAGTTTGATTCTGGCTCGAGAACCGCTCCGCTCTTGATCTTACCCCAACCAATGAGACTAGAATAGAGAAAAGCAAAAAAGATATTAGATACAAGTGAGTAACAATAAAAACAACACGAGATGAGAAACATACCGCCAGTGCTTGTCAATCTTTCTAGACAATGCAACCTTGTCACCAATTTCTGTGCATGTGGGACCAGTCAAAACAATCCTTGCCAAATCAGCCTTAACGGCGACGACGCGACCACCAGTAGAGACGGAACCGATGTTAACCAACAACAATTCACCCTTGGTGAGCTTGGCAACCTTGGCTTGCTTCTTGTCGTCGGTCTTGACACCAAGAAGTCGGCGAAGCAAGAAGTAAGAAACTTGCAATTCTGTGTAAATTTGAGGAAGAGTGCCGGGGAAACCAAGTTGCTGACCAACAAGACGATCACCACGGCAAAGAGTAGGATCCATCTGAGTACCAACACCAATCAAACCACCAGGAACGGCGAATTGAAGGGCATTCTTTTCAGCGTTAAGGGTAAGGATTTTGGACAAGATAGGTCTGCAACGAATCTTTCCTTCTTGATCCTTGACAATGACACCTGGGCGAACTTCGATTTCATCACCGAGCTTCAACACACCCTTCAAAATAGAACCACCAGCGACACCTCCCAAAAGTTGTGTAGTGTCAGCACCGGGCTTGTTGACGTCAAAGGAACGAATGACAATAAGTCGTGGTTCAGCAGAGAAGTCGCGAGGAGGAATGGGAACCTTTTTGACAATGTATTCAGACACGGCATCAATGTTGTACTTCAATTGGGCAGAGATAGGAATGACGGGGGCGCCATCAGCAACAGTACCCTTGACGAATGCCAAAATATCCTTGTGTTGTTCTTCAGCAGCAGATTCCTTGACAAGATCGACCTTGTTTTGCAAGATGATGATGTGCTTCAACTTCATAATTTCGATAGCAGCCAAATGTTCTGAGGTTTGTGGTTGAGGGCAGGATTCGTTTCCGGCGATCAAAAGCATTGCAGCGTCCATGACTGCAGCACCTGAAAGCATAGTTGTCATGAGAATGTCGTGCCCTGGGCAATCGACGAATGAAACGTGTCGGACCAAGTTCATCTTTCCACCACATCCGGGTCGCTCGCATGGAGGGTGGTCCTCCTTAGTTGAGCCGTATGATCGATAGCATCCAGGTCGAGCGCATGCTGGGTTATCGCACTTGTAGATCTTTGCGTTTGCATAACCGAGCTTGATTGTAATATTACGTTCCAATTCATTCTTGAAACGAACAGTCTAGCAGGAAGGAAAGAGTTCGAGATCAGTAACAAGGTTACATTTAGATTCACGAGATTAGTCCATCGAGAATCAAAGCTTACCAAGACACCCGAAATGGCTTTGACTACGGTTGATTTACCGTGGGCTACGTGACCAATGGTACCTAATGAAGCAAAAAAGGTAAAGAATGGATTAACATTGGCCACTACGGAATTCACATTGCCATGGTTACGGCCATTGTTGGGGTCCAACCGACGAATCGATCGCTCGAGATTAACATGTCAATTTGGCCCCACGATTGTGTGCTGGTACATACCAATGTTAATAGTAGCTTGCTTTGAAATAACCTCTGGTGAAAGAGGATTCAGCGTCTTTGGGTCGATTTCGAGAGTTGACTGTGCTTCGTCAGCCATGATGTATAAGAGACTAGAGATGCGTAAGTGACTCACAATCTCACAGCAACAATTTTTCTTCTTTGCTTTTTTTTCTCTAACACTCAGATTTGCACAGCAAAATTTCATAGTCGACGTCATTCGTTTTGCCGCGAAAAATTCAAACATAATCAAAAATTTGATAGTGGCATGAAGCAGATTTGGCAGCCATCTTTTTTTTTTTTCTACGACACACCATGGGCTACGATAAACTGGATGCTGCATTGGCATGGCAACGTAATTTGCCTCCAACTGGTTCCAACATCGTGATAGCTGATACCCTCAAGTCCAATGGAAACTTCTTACTGCATCACTTCATTGTAAATCACCTCAGAGCAAACCAGCCCGTGATAGTGATCGGGCTCAGCCAGATCTTCAATCACTACTTTCTGATCGGTAGAAAACTTGTAAGTATACGGACGAGCTTCATGGACGAGCGAATTTTTGCGCAGTATGTTTTATGTTGTATTGATTGCTGGTATGTTCTTAAATAGGGTATCAATTTGCAAACGCTCAAGCAAAATCAACAATTTGTCTTTATTGATGGCTTGACTCACCTTACATCATACACTCAAAAAGCACCATTCCCATCGGTGACAACACCAACCACACCCAACGCAGTGCTCAATGGAACCAATGTACAAGAATTTTACAATGCAATTCGAGAACGAGTGGAAGCCAGTGCGAAACAATCGCCAAACCCTCTTGTAATTATTGACGATGCCAATGTTCTGCTGTGGGCCGGATTTTCTCATAATGATGTGCTTTCATTGCTGCACAATATTCGAGTTTTGATTGAATCAGTGAAGGGTACGTTAGTTACGGTGGTTCATGCGGACGAGGAGGGCAATGATGACGATGAGAGTGACAGCTTTGTTCGAACAATGCTATCAAGAGCTGATATTGTTTTAATGGTGGAGCCACTTCAAAGTGGACAGTCCCGAGATGTGCATGGGCAATTGTCCATTATCAACGGCCCTAAACAGCGAGGATTGGTGGAGGCGCAGGCGCTTCATTACCGGTTAATGGATAATAACTGTACATTCTTTGCAAAGGGAATTGCACAAGGTGTACTGTGAAATCCATGTGACATAATAAACTCATTTTTTTTTCCTTAAAATTTACCAACTACTGTGTGTCAGCAGCATTTCCTGAGTCCGCCTATTCTTGATATCCAGAGTATTTGGTCATGACTACACAAGGTAAATAGACATCACACCTGCTCCAGACCATGCAGACCATGGTGCGCAACTTGAAATGGCAATAACCTGTCTATATAGAAACTCTTCGAACGTTACTGGAAAATCTCGAGGCATACAAGCCTACTATATTACCATCGCCAAAACACCAACGTCGGAGAGCATGTGTTTCCATAATCATCCGTTGGACGGGCCATGAACATAATTACAAGGACAAAGAACCAATGGCGACATCTTGGAGACAATTTTTGGACAAGCCTTGGGTGACAAACAATAAGAGTGGAGGGCCTGAGCTCCTATTTATGCAACGTGCAACACGGACGGGTGACCGGTGAGTTTTCAATGGACGACGACGCTCAATGTACGACATATGTTAATGCTATGGATATTTTGACAGTTGGTCTGGCCATGTAGCGTTCCCAGGTAACGTTAGATGATATCGGCGTGTCAACTTATGTACGAATTGAGATAGCTGATTGGTATTTTAGGAGGCAAGAACGAGAAAGATGAAACGGACATTGAGACTGTGGTGCGTGAAACTTGGGAGGAGGTCGGTTTGGATCTCAATACCGAAGACTTTATACCTGTTGGGCGATTGGATGACCGCGAAATTACCTCAGCACAAGATGGCAAGCTGATTATGATGCTATCGCCTTTTGGTAAGAATATACTAGAAAAGCCTTATATTGATAAGGGATATCGGTGGAGCGGCCAGCTTATGAAAATGATATTAGTCTTCCTGCAGGTATCTCCACAGACTCCAACACTGAAACTGCAAACCTCTGAAGTTGCATCTGTTCATTGTAAGTGGGGACATAATAGTAAACAGCTAGTGAACCTACGCTGATTTTAAACATGATTTCAGGGATACCTCTACAATTCTTCCTATCTGTTGAGCCGTATGCTTATCGACCAATGAAGATCAAATTAATGAACAAAATGCCACCACACCTTCGATCATTAGCTCCTGTCGCACAAGAATTGTTTGGCAACATGGAAGTGCCCGCCATCGATCTGCCAGATGGAAATTCTTCCTCACCCCCAAGGCTATGGGGTTTGACGCTTGGAATGACCAGCCAACTGATTAGCTTGACAGCTGAAACTACTACCTCAGGGAGGCCTATCCGGTCGAGAAACGAAAAGAGACTCGCATTTGTAGATTTAGAACGCTCTCCTCCAAAATATACTTTCCCAGACATAGCTGCGCTTGTCTGGCTTTTTTTCAAGGTTGGCATTGCATGGCAAAATATTCGAGGCGTAAGGAAGCGAAGTAAATTGCGGATGTAAGTTTTCTAGAGTTGAAAATGATCCAGATGAGCCAGAAGCTAATTGTTATAATTTTTACGCGCTTTACAGTAATTCATGGGCCGAAGATGCTGATCTGCCTTTGTATTATGCTGCGCTTCGAAAATCACTGGCTGTTGCTGGCATTCTCCGCGTAGCCGGAGTCATGATCATTATCCTCAAGGCGTACAAGCTACTTAAACATAGACGCGGTGTAATGGCTTAATGTGTAATACAGATTTGGTAGGCAATTTATTAGTGACAAGGAATGCAGCAGCAACGGATGCAAGACCTAAAATAATGTAACAAGAACACTAGGTATTGAAGGAGAAGAGAAATCTATCGGATGATATAATGTACTGTACAGTAGAGAAAGGAATAAATAAGAAAAAAAAAATGGAAAGGATATTGTAAGACAAAAGTCAAGAACAACGATGACCAATAATATAAGTAACTTTAAAACATTTCGTGCGATGCCGGTTCGACCACCTTTGCAGAAGCAAACGACGGTGAAAGGGGAGACCGTGGGGATCTTGGCGTGGATCGATGAGAAGAAGGAGATCCAGGTCGCGAGAAGATAATACTTGAGGGTTTGGATGAAGTGTTGGATGAGGTATTTGAGTCGTCGGCACGTCGTAGGCGCAACTTGACTGTATCGTCTATCTCGTCGGCAGCATGCATCACCACATATTCCCCATCATCGCCAGGTGCATGCAAAGCATCTTCAGGTTTATCCATATGTCCCAACAGATATTCTTCATCGTCCTCCATGTTGACCAGCCGCCTCTGCTTCTCACGCTCAGCCCGCTCCTGAAGGATGTAAGGGCGAGCCGACTCCAATGACCCAAAGGCATTTCGAAACGTGACTTTTGTAATGCCCAAATAATCAAAGCGAGTTCGGGCATCAGCGCGCACTGTGGGTAGAAAGGGATATGCGGCGAAAAAGGCCAAAAAGGCATAAATGCTTCCGCCTACCAGATCAATCATGTAATGATGTGTCAGATACATGGTAGACCACCACAACCAGAGCGTGTAGCCAAAGGCCAATGGCCAAAGACGTGGACGCAGATAAACTAAGAATAACATTTGGGTGGTCGCACAACCACTATGCAAAGAGGGGAACGCCCCGAAAACCATGGGCGAAGCGCCAAAACTGGCTCCATAAAGATTGAGTCCAAGGATCTTATCGATTCTAGCCAGACCGGCCGGCTCGCCAGGAATCGAATAATCAGCAGGAGCATTTCCGTACTTATTTTCGTACCCTATAGTAAAAAACCGGGAAATAAAAAAAAAAGGTGATAAGTATACAACATTTCTTTTTTTTCTAAAAAGGAGAAATTCCAAACCTCACACTGACCAAACCAATCGGTCAGGCCCAGTGACGGCGGAATTCACCTGTTTGGTAATCTTTTCCCTTTCTTCCATTTTGGAGTGTGGGATAAGAAACAAATACTTACATGGTGCGGCGCATGGAAATAAAAATTGGGTCAAGACTCCTGCTAGATTCATGTAGGCAAAGGCGGAGGCAAAGACGTCTAAGCAGCCTGGTGGACCAAAGTACCACATGGCAAAGGAGAAGGCGAATGGGAGCGAGAAGTGGATAACACCGTAAGGAATCCAAGCCAATATATCGAGTACAGGATGCGTATGTCGAGATATCAAATCAGACAGACTGTTTCCGTACAGAATTCGCTCCAGGGTCGGTAAGACGTTGACAAAAATGTGCTGAGGTCTCATTTCCACCGGAATAAACTGAGCAGTGTAGTAGGTAATTAGCCATGTGAAGATGGGAAGGAATGGAATTACGAATCGTCGAACGTAAGGGACTGCTGTGGCGCCGAGCAGCAATGCCATTAACAGGAGGCAAACATAAACTGGAGGGAATTTCACAAAGCTGAAATCGATAATCCAAAACATGGCCATGAAGGGATATTGTAAATCATAGGCGGACCACTGTCGAGACATGAGTCCAGCCAGAGGCGTTGGCAACTTTACGCTTTTCAGTCGGTCTGTCAGCATATGATAGACAGACGACATGTAACAAAAGAAAGGTTTAAAGAGTAAGGACGGAAGGTTTTTCTTTTGTAAGTCTTATGAAAAATTTCAAACACCTCCCTCCTCTTTTTTTTATTTCGGCGCAAGGAAAAATTTGCCACCGGCCGTACCGTGAGCCTATGATACTTTGCAAAAAAAAAAAAGAAAGTGCTATGAAACAAAAACCGCAATGACAAAATAGATTAGCCGGAGTCGATCGGATTCACTCGTGCCGGTGATCCATAGTAAACATCTTTCATTGACAGGCACGCTTCACTTCTCCTGGTAGCTTATGGGGTACCATGTCCCGTGCAGTGTCATTGACCCAATAACAATGGTCGAGTACCTCCGGGAAAAATATATGCCTTGTCAACAAATACAAATTATGACCTCGTTTGATTTGCTGAATTGTTTACATGTTCGGTTTGGATTCTGACCAATAAACTTCAAGCGAAATTGTCTCAAGCATTGAGGGCAAATGAGTAGATAAATTTGTGGTTTATACATGGGGGAATGTTAAACTGTGTGCTGTGGGCCAAAGTGCGCGGAACACGGGAATGCCAAGGAAAAAGAAAAAATGTGGACATAGAAAGGTTGGAGAGGAGAGAATATGTCTACCAAATGGGGAAATCGTCGACAGCCATGCTCAACACAGGGTGACCCAAAAGTTGTTAGCAAGTAAAGTTTTATGGAATGTCTACTGATTCCAAGAAACTCTTTGTCGGGCCTTCTATGATTTAAATTTGTACGACCCCACGCTACCCAGAGATTTGACTCAGCAGGTTCACCTGCTGTTCCCTTTACCTGTTTTGTGAGAAGAGAATAACAGGGTTATGAATTCAAGACAATGTACAACATGAAGACTGTATTGAATCTCTTTGAATACAACTAGGCACTTATCAGATGAAAGCTGTGCCGCCAACAACATATAAACTTTTCACGAAAGGTCAAGCAGCTCTGCAGTAAAGATATCTTAGCATTGATGAAAACTGGTACATGGACTTGTAACGATTACAAGCCCCATCGCATTGAAAACATCAGGCTATCACCAACAGCCGTGCTAGATAATTAAAAGGTAAGGTCTGTCGCCAAATACTGTGCTCCCATACAGCGTTCGGCATTATGCCCGAGCCGCTGGCAGCCAACTTACAGTATTAGAAAATGATTTTCTTCCTTCACCTAAATGGTATTTTTTTTATAATCTCAATTTAATGGGCAAAAATATGTCCAAGGTACAAATGTGCGAGAAATGCAACGTTACTTTATATACTTTGCAAATGGCTATGTACAGCTAAACTATTCACATCTTTGACTGCTCAAATGGGATGGCCTTATTTTCCTTGGCCCACAATTTTTCAGCATCTGTGTTGGGCATAGGTGGGTTGATGCCGTTGAGACGCCAAGTATCTCTGTCATGTTCTTCAATATGGATCTCCCAATCTAGTCCTCTGTCCTTGACATAAGGGCCGAAAGCCGCCTCAAGCGCATTAAGAACCGTCTGCTTGCGCTCATACGTATCCATAGTTCTGGCCAAATGTTGACTGACGACGCGAACAAAGTTGGTGGCAGGTTTACCGCCAATCATGATGGAATCACTAGGGACTTCATTGAATACGACAATAACGTAGAAGGCAGGTAGACCAGTGGTAGTATAAATCTTGGTGATGCGTTCTGAAATCTCCAGCTTGTCCTGGGCAGAGAAGAGACCGTTTGCGTAGTAGAATCGGTGAAGAGGCATGTTGTTTTGGTGTTGGTTTGAATTTGATGTGGTATGATATTTTCTGGGGGTTATATATTCGTCGAGTAAATTGTCAGCATTGCCCTTGGCCGGTCAGTCATCTAATTTTCCATTTTGGGAACTGATAAATTTACCACAAACGGAATATTCTTGCTTCTAACTGTGACTATTGGCTCAGTGTTTGACTGAACATTATGCAGTTGGACCACCTATTCGAATTGAACACGTCTGTCGCATTAATAAACATTAACATTCAGATATCTCTCGTGATGACTAAAGAATCAAAGGATTGTACGGCAACAAAACATATGTGGTTTCTACACTGCCAAAGCGTACGTCGCAGCTTTGTAGAGACCCTTGGTTCAAACGGAGAGCATTGCGACAGCTGGAAAAGAACTGATTTCCTCATATGGATATGATACATAGCATTAATATAACAAAATAAATCTATAGTTTATATGTCGTTAGCAACTACGTGTTGAGCGATAAATCGACAGCCCTGACAATGGAAAAAAAAAACGCGGTGGTTTATAACAAAAAAAGATGGCCAACCCATCTTTTTTTAACAGATTACGGGAGAACTGCAGCTATGATAATGAGCGTCAAGTTAATTACGATTGTGTATGATTAGATACGTTGAATTAAAACATATATGTATGCGGTACTCACCATCAGAGTGCCAGTCCTCCAAAAAAAATACGAGCAAGGATACGGATTGTGCAATTAACGCCGGATTGTTTTGAGACGTACGCGTTTATAGCCTACAGCAGCTATTCTTTAGCATTGCAATCATATTTGATGTTCAAACGTAAAATCACTTACTTTTAGTCATTCCGGAAACC